CTTCCATCATATATAAATAGGATTGTTCATTGAGTAATATTTTGATTGATACATTTCAGTGATGCTGATATCTCCACTAACTACATTGTCAAAAGACAACATACATGAATTATCAAGTGAGGTATATATACTATAGCAGTACAGATACAATAGAGCATCTCACGTGCAGGTTGGCACCCGCATGCTTGAGAGCATAGCGGGAGTTCTTCAGCTTGCCTACGATGCAGCAGATGCAGTCTTCCCTTAAGTCTTCCAGAGCTGCATGGCAGCCGTTAACAATGCTCGACATTGTCTGATCCTTAATTAAACTTCATAACATAAACATCTAAATAAAATTCATGTTTTCATACTAGTTAGCTCATGTTTTCATTCTATTTAGAAAGGAAGAGCACTTGGTTATACTCTAAAATAACATTTTAATTTTATCTTTAATTTAATGTGATCTTTGATTATCCATTTATAAAGTTTTACAAGTAGAACCCGTGAATTTCTCTCATTTACTCAAATGACAATGTCTGTGCAAGACATTTGAGTGGTGCAATAACTTTACCCATGAATTTATTTTCCTTTGACTTATTTGGGGAAATAAATCATTTCTATGATTTGCTAACAAGAAATCTAATATCAGGCTTCCACATAAAATGAACATGCAACCATTTATAAGCACAGAAACAATACTAACAATGATAAACTTGCAAAGAAGATCACGATTTTGATGTCAAACTACAACTTCCATTCTTTCACACATTTTCCATGATCCAAAATATGATTATTTGTACAGCAATCCCTTGATTAGCACGGTGGTTTTAAATACCGCGGAAAAAAAATTTGCGACCTACCCTTAATCTACACGGGGCCGGTTTTGATTAGCGCGACTTTTTTTTCACAACGCATCATTTTCCCGCCTCCAGCCAGAGGTGTTATCTTCGTAACACAAGTGTTACTTTTTGCTTATTAGATCTTATGTTGTTACTTTTGTTACGACTTTTGGAAAAATTCGCCAAATGTTGTTACTTTATGAATTTCAGCAATAATTCTTTAAATAAGGTCCCGTTCCATAGGCACTCATGCTGACTACAGAGTTGGTTTAACCGCGCCTTGTCTCATTCATAACTCGAATGGTCGAGTTCGGCAACGTTCACCGGTAAGTGCGCCATGCCGGTGCTCTAGTTACTCGTTAGCCTTCAACTGGTCAAGATTGCTGCCATATCTACTGCTCATTTTTATCAAACTACATAATTTTCCTTGATAAATTACCGTCATAATTATGGACAATAAGGGAAGAAATCTAAATCTAAGGAGAAAAAGAAATCTAATCCTACTGTGCAATTGAAATTGGATTCGTTTTTCAGCAAAAAATAAATGTTAATTCACTTGCATTTCTTTTATTTATTTCCCCTATTATTTAGAAAAAAATATGATAAATTTTAGTCGAAAAAAAATTATTATGTAACTTTGCTATTTTTGAGGATTCATTATAATTATTCCCATATATTCTTAAGTTTGATTAGCGCGGTTTTGCATAACACGGTAAAACTTGGGGATTTATTAACCACGTTAATCAAGGGATTGCTGTAATTGTAATGTATTATTGCAATTAACCATGAATTACCAACTCAATCCATATTTTCTTGCATGTACAATTTTGGTTTCCAAAATAAACAAGGCTGGTTGTCATTTCACAATATTGTACAGAAACTCTGCAGGCAAACACACCATTTATATAGCCAAGTTTTCCATAAGGAGTGATTGATTTTTGATGATGCTAAAATTTGAAATTTGCTACATTATTATAATTGTGAAGCATTATATTTTTCAAGTATTTGCATAGAGGATTTCAACTTAAATACCCAAACATCATTAATATCATTAAATAATATATTTAAGTAAATAATTTGTGAAGTTAGAAACCAGTTCAAGATTTCTAAAATGATCTATACATAAATTCAGGACTCATAGTTTTTTGTAGACCTAACAGAAAAAAAGCAATTACTGATTGTAAATTCCAAGTTATTTCAATAGGCAAATGTCCAATGTGAGTAGACCTGTTACGTCTCAGACTAGGAACAGATGCAACAACACACAATTGAGCATGGCAACTAAGGCATTAAGAGAGAGCAGGGCAGGAAGCCCACTTGTAGGGGTTCAGGCTTCTGGCCCATAAGCTCATGAGAAAGAGGATAGACAAATAAAAGCAGCTATTTTATGGCATGTGGGAGAGGGAAGAATGCAGGAGAGGTAATATATGAACAAGTGCACATATATATCATATTGGATTTATAAGATTTTTCTTTTATTTAGAGCTGAATTTGAAACTGATTAATTTACTACGATGGATGGATATTAAATATGAGAAGCAGTAAATGACCACTCCAAGAATTCCACAATCCACACTGAGGTGGGAAATTATATTTCCATCCTCTACTATACTTTGAATGATAAAATTGTATTATATATGGTGGATTGAAAGATTAAAGTGTGGAATTAGGGAGATATAATATATAAATAAAAAGGTGAACATAGAAGTGAAAAATAAAATAGACTGTTCTCCTTGTAACTCAGATCAAATTGTAAAATAAGACAAAGCTTAATTAGTAAGAAAAGATCCACAATTTAACAAAATGAGTCCAGCAACATGAAGTCTTGTAGATAATAAAATTTGAAATTTGATCCAAAATCTATCACAGAACTAGTTTTAATAACATCATTATTAACATAAGTCAGGTTTGAATAGCTTACTGTAGGCTATAAAATAACCAAAAACAAAAAGTAGTAACATCCCATTAATTAAATATTGGGATGAGTCAAAATTAGATAATTTTGAGATTTACACATCATTTAGCTAGGTACCTCCTAATTTAAATCATGACCATGATTCATGAATTTTTCACAAATCATCTTCATGAAAATTAATGATCATGAACTTTTTCTCAACACCAAAAATGAGAAGCTCAAAACATAGCTTTGTTAGCCTGTTAGGTACCTACCTACAATCTTAAAAGTTAAAAGTAGAGGTTCAGCCCCAGGTCCTGACTCCTGAGTCCAGCCCCAATGTACCTACCGGTAGTTCAAACTGTTAAATCTGTCAACATCCTGGTATGTACAAAACAGTACCTATTATTTGCTAAAGACAAAATTATCCTAGCTGTTTACCGATGAATAAAATGGTGCTTAGACCGGCAGAGCTCAATGCATTGCAAATTGATAAGCCTAGGTACAGCATCGGGCAGTGGCAGGCAGGCTGAGATTTTGCCGACAAACTAGGTACCTACCTAGCCTACTCGAGATTACTCCTGCCTTCATAAAACTACATCTGTACATCAGATTATAGGAAATATTTTCATCGCCAACGTACTTGACAAAATATTTCCTTCCTTCTTAGATGAACTCTTGTGTCAATAATTTAAGAGCAACACTTCACTAATATTAGATTGCGTACGTTAATCGTACCGCTCTGGCGACTGACAGCATGAACTGTCTAAGTTGACAATCAACAGGCAAGTTTCAATTCGGCGGCAAATATTAATAAGACTGTGAGAAGTTACGCTAATATCCTCGAAGCCAAAATGTTTTAGACGATTCATGAAAAGGCCAGAAAAGATTGATCATTATGAAGAAAATAATCATGGCACTCACCTATAAAAAAAACGTCAGAAATCGTCACACATACACTCTCCCTCAATATGGCCGCTTCACTGATAGGAGGAGTGGCGAAATTTCAAAAGCGCAGCTCATTGCGCACATAGAAAGTAAACACCTCGCATGTGGTATCTCACTATATAAAAAAATGAAGAAATAGATTAGCTGAGCTGTAAACGTATGATACAGGTAATTTCAAAGTTTTCTTTATTAGTGTGGTCTTGATGCTACCGGAACATCAGAATCATATTTCACAGAAATAATGGTTTTCTTCATGTTGTAGAAAACTGCCGAAAACTTCTGGTGCCGCCGAAATTTATTCCGGAAATTTTCGTACGATAGAGTGTCCTGAGTACGTAGCCTACCTATCCTTGATCCATATTTTACATCGATATCAGCTTACTTCAGCTTATTTCTGTCATATATAATTTTACGTTGGCATTACTGAAGAATATGAAGAATGACATTTAATCCACGATATACATATAACGAGTGGTTGGTAAACCGTTCGAATAGATCACCAATATTCTGGGCTAAAAGATTCGAACATAATGTCCTCGCTCTTGACGAATGAATCCTTGCGAGTGATGCTATGTGTATCTCCACCTTCATTTAAAAAGGACAGATATAGCAATAAACTGTTTTGTAATAGAATAGAAGTGTCGGCACTGAAGAAATAGGCCCATGGCATGTTGCCGATTCTTGAATTTTTCGTGACTTGATTCACAAGGGATCCGGCCTTTGCAACCCGATCTTTCCATAACTTACGATTGATTGAGAATTTGAGATAGCTGCTGGTCTTATTGCCTTGGGCCGTAATTTGCTAGGCATTTTAAGACTGCATATGCTCCTGCATAGCTTCGTCTAGTGAAATCTGTTCTTCAAGGCGTTCATACTCGGAGCGTCAACGACGCTATCAGGGAGGCTGTTCCACATGTCGCATGGATGTGTTACAACGGTTTTTTTAGTTTATAGCCGTGGGCCCTGGTGTTGGTTCTTGTTTCAAATTCTAAACGTACATAAAATTTCCGTTGGTTTTCCTTATCATTCTTCAATTCAGCCGAATTATCTTCTCTATAATGACAGTCAGTCTCGCTAACCATGCTGTTAAAAACGACTAGAAAGATTTTTTACTTAATAATCGACAGTATCTTGCAGTGACTCAACGGAGCACAGTTTCCTCTCATGAGAGAAAAATTAGGCCACTTTTGGCCTGTAACCAATTCTGGACAACGTAGAATTTTTACAGCTTGCTGAGTCTCGAACCCGCAATTAACAGCTTCTATCTAGCTGTTCATAAACACTCAGCCCTAACGCAGAAGGTGAAAAAGTTGAAAAATAATGCAAAATTTCAATTTAAAATCATTGCATAAAAGTAATATTTTAAATTAAGCAGATTGTACTTCCACAGGAAGATAATACATATAATCCACATTCGCTCCGTAACAATTAAAACGTTAAACATATTAACGAGTAAAAAATACATTGCAATACTAAGTAAGTACAGGCGGACAATTTACAATTGTCGTTATTTATGCTTAATGAAAGAACATTTCTCTTAAACTTGGAGTATCAGAACAAATTAAAAGGGACGAGTTCCTCTTTCAATTCAACAACGCATTGATATATCTTTTTTTATTCTACAGGATACAATTCTACGAGAGAATAAACGAGCTTCCCTGTAAATGCGAATGACCAACAAGTGACGTCGAATCTCCGTCCGTCGCTACGGGCCCATCGAGTTCAAAAACCGGCCCTTCCAGGACCGTACCTGGGCCTTCCGCAGGGCCTTGAAAAACGGCCGTGCTAACTCCATTAGCGGCAGCTGAACCTTCGAACACAGCAGTATGGCCACCATCAGCCGCGTCCCCCATCTGTCCATCATCAGCATAACTGAGAATTGTTTCCTCGACTATACCGTCGGTAGAGGATAATGGCCCGGTGATGGAGGTCTCGATGCCGTCAGTCCCGACAGACGTGGCGATGAGGGCACGCTTGTGCTTGCGCCAAGTGTGCGCCTTGAGGTTACCTTTGGTTTCTGAGGAGTAATCGCAATGGTAACAAACGAAGGGCTTCTCACCGGTGTGAATGCGAGCATGAACCATCAAAGTCTCTTTCCTCTTGAACATTTTAGAGCAATGTTCACACTTGTACTGTCGTTTGGTCTCGTGTACCATGTTTATGTGTTTCTTCAGGGCTATGGAACCACGCATGACTTTGTTACAAAGATGGCACGCAATCTGTAGCTTGCGATCTTCATGTTGCTTCTCATGGACATTTAGTTTCCATTTCTTTGCAAAGGTTTCTCCGCAATGACTGCAGATGAAAAGGCCTGCTGACTCGCCGGATTGGACGTCATGGACGCTGTATCTATGCCTCATCAAACTTTTGCTATTATTCATCTGTTTATTGCATAGCTGACATACGAGGTTGCGTTTGATACACTGACGGTCAGGACAAACGGGGTTGCTGGGGCCGATTGGAGTAGTTAGGTCTTCTGAAGAACACTCGCGCTTGCGACAGAACGAGCAACCTTTAGCAAGGAAAATACCAATGCATAATGGAAGCAATCGATCAGTTTCCATCTGTTCAACGATAATATGCATAATCATCTCTTCTTGATAGTTCCCATTCAAACTCGCATCTAAATCTGCAATGGTTCTTTTTGAAAGGTCTTCACTTACTCTTTTGAAACAGTGACGTGTTATTTCATCCTTCTTTTTATCCCACCCTGGCAAATCAGATGATAACTCTGTTCCTTGTAGGCCTTGAATCATAGCTGAAAATTGTTCAGAAGAATTATCATGAAAACCCAGCTTATTTCGATTATTTTCGAACTTCTCATTCCCAATAATGATCCGAAATTTATACAGAGATATGAGCCTAACATAGTAGGGAATATGCTTAGGATCCATTTGTGTGTAATTAATTATCTGCATGTCGCGCACTGTTAGAGTTTCGGCTTCTGGTACAACGGAATCGCTACCACCAACCTGAGTGTATGTCTCATCCAAACCCGAAACGCCGTTGAGCGTTTCAACGATGTAATTACCATAGCTTGAGGTCACACTTTCTTTGCGATACGTCGCTCCCTCCATCACGTCATTCATGAAATCAGTGAAAAACTTGGTTAGCTCATTCTGATCAAAGAGCTTCGTAAGAAGAAGTTCTGCGTTCCATAATGTAATAACATGTTGAGAAGTGCGCGCTACCTGCATGGTAGAGGAGCTGGGATCAAACAACTCCTCGAGTTTACAGAGAAAAGGCGTCAGTGTAGATTCTACAAGCTTTGCAACATTGGGTTTCATGCGGACTTCTTCCCCAGCTGAATTGATCATGAACCCTACAGGAACGGTAGCGTTGCCCACAGGTGCCATCGTCTTCTGGGGTTCCACTTTTCGTTTTCTGCGACGGTCGTCATAAGTTGAGGAGGATTCTTCCCTGCGTTGGGCAGTGGGAGCTGGCAATGATGGAGGTTTTAAATCTATTTCAATTGGTTCTGATTTAATATCAGGCATCCGAGGTTCTGGTGGTTGCACCTGAAAATTCAATGAATAGCTTGTTACAATAAAAAAACGTATAATAGACATAATATGAAACTAATTTGACTAAAAAGATTATTTGGTAAATAATTACAGCATTCAAAGACATGCCTCATAAATCATCGGTAATCAGATGATTTTGAATGAAAATCAACAGCAAAAGGAAGTAAATAAACACAAAACATAAACGTGGACCCAAGAATCAGACTACAGTAATCAGGGTTGGCAATGATTAAATCAAAATGATTAAATCATGTGATTAAATCACTTGATTTTTTTATAAAAAAATCATGATTTTTTTGATTTTTTCGATTTATTTGATTTTTTTGATTTTTTCATATATTTAAAAATTTTGAGTGGCAGTCTTTAATTTATTTTGAGGCATTGTTATGCATGGTTTAGTATAAATGTACTATGAATGATAAATTGGTATATAAACTTGTTGCCTTTAGTGTGTATTAGGTTCCAATAAATAAAATGTTTTTAGTACAGAGGCATCGAGAGTGCAATACATTGTACATAGCTAACAGCTTAGCTAATTCTTATAAGGCTATAAGTAGTCTAACTATTTGACTATTTGTTATATATTAACTACAATATACAATTTAAATGTTTTAGCTAGCTTATACAGGGTTGGGCAGAATTGATTGAACAGTTTTGAGGCAAAATAAAAGAGTAATGGAGGCATATAGAGAAGAAAGTTTATTTTCCTCATGATTAGCATAACATACCATTTAAAATACTTATGTTTTGAAAACAATATCAGGAAGATGGGGTTTGTTAGCTGCATCACACTGTTGGAGTCGTTCTCGGAAGTTTCCTACAGCACGTTCACATATATGGCGAGGTATGGCCATAACCTCTGCTGCAATAATCTGTTCCCTTAGCTGTGGTAGGGTGTGAGGGCAACTTCTGAACCCCTTTCTTTTAGATGTCCCCAAAGAAAGAAATCGCAAATGCTCAAATCAGATGACCTTGCAGGCCACTGTAAATCACCCCTCAGAGACACCAGATCTACGGGAAACATGTGTTTCAAAACATTGAGTGACATTCGAGCTGTGTGAGCTGTAGCCCCATCCTGCTGGAACCACACATCTCTCAATGCTTCATTAACCTTTTAGGCAATTAGAAAGATTTTCCACCCTAATACGAGTATTCTAATTAAAATATTCAATTTCAATCTTTAAATATGTGAATTTAAAACTAGAAACAAAACAATTACAATTATAAGACAATATATAAAATAATTAAATGCAGTGAATGGATATAAAATATTTGAATTGTGCACATGTTTATTTCAAACAGTGTTAGCTTTTCTCATGACTTCAGTCTCGTTTCAAGTCGCTTGAGGTTTGTTTGGTCATCATTCAGTTTATGTTTAGTATTGGTTTATTGGTCTGAATTAAATGGGAACAGTGCAGTCAGTCACTCAGTCACTATACTAGTCGGTGTGTATAGAGGGTAGAGTCTGGTAGATTTATAGGACATAAAACTAGTGGATCTATTAATAGTGCTGTGCACTGAGCTATCAGCTACCTATCTGTTATGTCACTCATCAATGTTTAGAAGATCTGCATTCCTGAAGTGTTTTTGTATATTGAAGCCAGTTAAATGGTCAATATTTAGCTCATTACCTTGCTCCATACAAACTTTACAAAGCTAATGAATAGACTTATCAATAATTGTTTACCCAAAAATCCCAAAGTAGTAAACACCACCTTGGCCTGTTGGCCATTATTGGAGGCAATAAGTGCCCATTTTAGCCATCCATTATGATCCATATACTGTTATTGTTAGTAGGCTAATTGCAACATAAAAAATAACACCTCAAAGAAGACAAAAAAGCTGAAAAAATCAAAAAAATCAAAAAAATCGCCAACCCTGACAGTAATATAAGGAGTCACAATTGAAACAAAACGTAGGGTAAACAATTAAGTGCACAAGAGGCCAGGGGCCATATTTTCAAAACTCGCTAAGTGAACGTAAGTACTAGCGCTCTGTTTTCTTGTCTGTGATTGGTGGATTTGGCTTGAAAGGCCGACAATGATTGGCTGATGAACTTACGATCTCGTAACTTTTTTTGAAAGTATAGGCCATGAAAACATTTACTCGACCCACCAGTAGTCTGGTGTTCATGTCAGCAGCGAGCCTCTCGGCAACAGCCGTCATTTCAAAGAGATGCAGAACCCGCAACACTTCACTTGTGTTGCACTGCAGCAAAATCTCGGCATTGCCTGCACATGCAAGGACAACATTTTATTCGTGTTACGTTGTAATGGCACAGATCCTTGATGATTAGTTGTAGTTTGAAAAGTGTTAGAATAATTTAGTCATCAATGAAGAAATTTTAGCCAAAATTTCTAAATTCACATTGTGAAATGAAAAAGAACTAATTGAAACGATTTTCAAACGTGCTTTGTTATGGATAAATTTCTTGCAGAGTTTTGTAGCCAAGTCTATTTTCGATGAGATTTTAACGTGTAACGGTACTAATAATCAAGGTGTTGACTAAATAAAGACATACCAGTATACATATAGGAAACGACTGACTCAACAGCATCATGCTGGAGCCTCTGAGGTAGAGTGAAGCGGGCAAACTGATGTAAACAATTGAGCTTCTTGCGTCGCATGTATAAGTTCTTGTAAAAATAGGGACTTGCAGCCACGAGGACCAAGCGATGAGCCTGTAAATATATAGAAAATATGGTCCAAATAAAATTATTCTAATCAAATGCTGAATTATATCTGAAACAAATGTAAATACGAGTAAGAAAACAATCTTTAACACAAGTAAAATTAAGACGGGAGCAGAGCAATGCGATTTCAATCATAATTCATTTAAAGTTCCAAAATCTTAAGCAAGAAAACAAAACATATCTTCAAGTCTGAGCAAAAAACTTCAAAACAAAAAGCATTAATTCAGGACGTTATTAGTTGGATTCCTCATAAATCAGTATTATTTCATGACTGTACTACTAGGAAAAAATTTTAATTTCCTGTCGTGAATCAGTCTTAAATACACCTTATGAAGCAATGGAAATATTTAACATAAACATTATAATTGGCAATAATAATGAGTAAAACTTAACTTAATGAAGGTGTATGTAGCGTGCACTTATGTTCAAATGTGAAGAAACTCACATAAACAATATATTCTTTGATAACCTAAATGAAGGTGTATGTACCGTAGCATGCACATATTTTCAAATGTGAAGAAACTCACATAAACAATATATTCTTTGCTAGGATCAACCAATGCAACATTGCAATCGACCCGCAGTTGCCGCATGTTCTCCATCGTGACCAGTAAACTTTCATCCTCGAACTGCCGGAATAGATATTCAGTTCTGCCATTCTCTGGATCTTCAGATTCCTCCAAGTCTCCGTCAACAGCACTTGAATCTGGATCTAATTCCACATAACCTTGATTTGAAGATCTTTTATTCAATCTGATTCTTTTTATTTTGAGTTTGGATGATGAACTTTCAGATATTTTACAAGATGCTTTTGATGTCCCATAAAAATCCACCGCGTCTTCATGTTTGTGCCCAAAATCCACTACCTGGAGGAACAGACTCATTGAAGAGAGGTAGTATGACGGTCATTGAATTTATATCAAATGAATATTACAGTCAAATTCTTTGTATATATATTAATTTGAATGTTATTTAAAAATGTTTTGCTGCAACACAGTAGCTTCTTAGAAGTGATGTTCATTCCTAGGGAAGTTCCACAGATATTTAATATGACAACTACCTACGCAATAAAAATGCTTTCATTTCACCAAAAAAAATATAATACTAAATGTTAAAGAGAGTCTGTGAGCCATCAAGCTGCTGCAAGCTAATGAACAGTGTAGTTATCATATTATAGTAAAGTTCAAATAAGCACAAGTGATACCAACCTTGACTTTATCCTTATCATCAATGGTAACAGTAACTTGGTCTAGCTGAATAGGTTTCTTACAGTCTCTGTCTCTATTAATTTTCTTGAGATCAATTATAGTGGCATTAGGAGCTATCTTATAAGTGGTTCCAGGAGGTGCAGGCATGGCTGAACTCCTTGCGTTTGTAAGGGACTCATTTTTTCTTTTCAATGAAATTCTGCCATTTGAACTACATAATGAAGAGAGATGATTTCTATCCTTAATAGAGGAGTTTACAGTTTTATTTAATAAAGATGGCAAAAATTTTGTTTCATTCCCACAATTTCTTGTACTTGGTAGGTGCTTCAAAGTTATTGGTAGAAGAGCATTGACGTCATCATGCACAAGTTGAATCTGATGAGAAGTTTCTGCAGGATTATTATTAGAACTCCTAGACATCAACACTATTTCTTTGTGATCCTGACTCCTAATTGGAGTAACACATTTAGAAATGTGCTTCAGATTTTTCCTAAACATTAATTTATTAGAAGAGTTCATTGAAGGACTATAAGTAGAATCACTGTCAGAGAGTCTCCCACATTCTTCCGAAGCTTCAAACATGTAAAGTTCGTCTTCCTGTGGCCAGGAAGCATCAGCAGAGATGGATGTTGTCTGACAGACATCATCAATAGAAGTGTGATTAGGTGACAGAAAATCATTTGTCAAAGCTTCAATTGTAATGGAGGGCAGTGCACAGGCATCTTCATTACATGTTCTTGCAGTAATTGATGGGACTGAAGAAGAGGTGCAGGGAACAGTGGCAGATACTTGAGTTACATTTAATTCAATGTCATCGTTGCTCACAATATTGCCATCACTTAGAAGGTAAGCAGCTTGCACATGAGATTTGTCCATTCTTGCTTGTGCAGTAGTATGGGTGCAGTTGGCTCTGAAAGAGAAAAATCTCATTAGGAACATACCGGTACATGATTAACATGTTGGTTTGCAATGAGAAAAATTGAGCAACCCAGATCAGGTAAGACAGATCAGGTGAGTGACAGAGAGCTCATTTTCTCTTTGACAAAAAGGTGAAGTCACAGATGGACAGACATATTGAGCACAATAGTAAATTTTTTCATAAAGAGAAAATGCGCTAAAAACCATGTTTCTTACCTAGTTTCTGAAAATATTAGGTACCTATTTTTATTCCTGATCATTTTCCAGAACTACATGTAATAAATGTGCAAAACAAAGTAGCTAAATTTATCATATATTTAAATGTATATATACAGTGACTACTATCCAAACATTTGGCATAGTAAAAATATAATGCAAATGAAATTATTCAAGAAGTCTTCATTATATGCCAGACCCAATTTGCTAGCCACCAACAAGCTCTCCTGCTATTATCAAAGATGCAAGCTTGTAGCTAATGTCAATGCCACTCAAGTCACTACAGCACTTATATGCATACTGTAATGTAACTCTTCAATAAAAATTATAAATTTCATAAGCAAAACTGAAACTCTATAATAAAAAGTGGTTTTATTGGCAACTAACAAGTTGAGTTAGGCATTGATCCATGATAAGAAATTGTGATGCATTGACTTTATCTACATTGTACATTCCATGCCTTGATTACAGCTTTCCCACTACAATTGGAGCTGATGGATGATGATTTGTCTCCTATCTAATTGTTAACAAAAGAGCATGAACAAGGCAGAAGATTAAACATTCATCAATAATATTTCACTATGGAACCCTAGAATTTTAGCATTAAGTAGAAAATTTCCAATCTTGAAATTTTTTGTGTAACATTTGTGATAAATAAAACTTGCCATAATGATTAATGAAGCATTGCGCTTACATGCTATTTATAAAAATTACTTAGAATAGCAACTCTTTTGCACATTGGGGATTTAGGCCCAAAATTTTTAAAATACTTTTGAAGAATTATGGCTTGAACTACCTTAGCAGCTTAGCCCTCTAGACCTTTTAGCATAGCATTGCATTGCTTAGTAATATTGGCATTGAAGTATAGGCCAAATTTGGCTAATAGCCAATTCTCATAATGTTCTAGACTTGTTTCTAAGACTATAGAAGATCTGAAAACTGGCTTCTTAACTGACTCCATCCAAGACTGATATTGAGGCTCAGACTCAGATCATCTACCAATTTTCAAGGTAGTAGACAGAGAGCCTGGAAGGCTAAAACTGGAAGGCACTTCTAGTTTACAAGTCATTGAAACTGTTTTCAATAATATTCAATGAAATTTAATAAGGATAAAGCCACACTCAGGATGATGTATGTTTTTGGTGAATTTTCCCGCACCTAATGACATTTTTTCAGCCATTGTTGCACGCAGTTGGCGCAAAATAATCCAACTTTTCTTTTCCCACAAGTGTTGGCGCAACTCCCGGCCATTGTAGTGCAGGAGTTCATGCAGATAGTTTGTCAAGGGACAAGAGACAGAAAAGTAATAATACTCATTACTCAATATGCGCATAATTATTCATCATTAATATATGATAATTCTTGACATGGAAATTTGGTGAAAATAAGAAATTTAGAGCTCTATTTGAAACAAATTTTCTCCTAATTATTATGGCAACAACTTTTGTTTATGTTCTGTAAGTATAATAGCAGCAGTTTACATTCCGTATCTGTTAAGTATACCAAAACAAAAAAATAGTGGCATAAAGTTCAACATTTTTCCTATCTTTGTAGCATAAAGCAAGTTTAGAAATCATACATTTACTACCGTCAAACGGGGTAATAAGGGACGGTTTTGAGCATTTTTTGTTAATAACTTCTTACCATGAAACATTTCAGAAATGAATTTGGGCTCATTTTAAAGGTCTTTGCGAGGGCTATCATATGGCATCTTCAAAAAATTCCATACGCTATTTGTAAGGTGCTAGAGGCAATATAAATGGCTCCTGAATTAATCTGGAAACGGGGTACGTAATAAGGGACACTTGAAATAAAACCTCATTTTAAAATGTTTGAAGCATGCAGAGTGTACTCGTCAATTACTAACAGTACTCCGAAGTCCTCTTCCTTTGTAGATTATGTAAATGTAGCATAAATGACATTTTCTGTGATCTTTACTTGGTTTTTCTTGATTGATATAATATTACCTTATCAATACATTACCGTATTATTAATGTGATGTTACTGTATCCAAGGACATGCCATTGAGCATTGACAACAGGGTTGGCAATGATTAAATCAAAATGGTTAAATCATGTGATTAAATCACTTGATTTTTTTATAAAAAAATCATGATTATTTTTATTTTTTTATTTTTTTTTTATTTTTTCATATATTTAAATATATTGAGTGGCAGTCTTTAATTTATATTGAGGTATTTTTATTCATGGTTTAGTATAAATGTACTATAAATGACAAATTGGTATATAAACTTGTTGCCTTTAGTGTGTATTAGGTTCCAATAAATTGAATGTTTTTGGTACAGAGGCATCAAGTGTGCAATACATTGTATGTAGCAGCTTAGCTAATTCTTATGAGCCTATAAGTAGTCTTTAACTATTTGACTATTTGTTATATATTGATTACTATATACAATTTAAATGTGTTAGCTAGCTTATACAGGGTGGGGGTGTAATGGAGGTACATAAAGAAGAAGGTTTATTTTCCTCAAGATTAGCATAACATACCATTTAAAATACTTATGTTTTGCAAACAATATCAGGAAAATGGGGTTTGTTAGCTGCATCACACTGTCGGAGTCGTTCTCGGAAGTTTCCTACAGCACATTCACACATATGGCGAGGTATGGCCATAACCTCTGCTGCAATAATCCATCCCCTTAGCTGTGGTATAGGGTGTGAGGGCAACTTCTGAACTTCACTTTTGGATGTCCCCAAAGAAAGAAATCGCAAATGCTCAAATCAAGTGACCTCACAGGCCAGTGTAAATCACCCCTCAGAGACACCTCACACCAGACCTCTGGGAAACGTGTGTTTCAAAACATTGAGTGACATTCGGCCTGTGTGAGCTGTAGCCCCATCCTGCTGGAACCACACGTCTTCCAATGCTTCATTTTCAACAATGTTTTCCATCATGGGCCGCAAGAAATTTTGCAACATTGCAGCATAGCGATCGGAATTCACTATCATGGTTACTCCCTCCTCTGAGAACGACTCCAACAGTGTGTTGCAGCTAAATGAGCTAATAGCCCCCATCTTCCAGATATTGTTTTCAAAACATAAGTATTCTAAATGGTACCATAAAATGGGGTAACTTTAACCGGCGGGGTAACTTTGACCACTTTTCGTTTTTTTAACAAAAACCTCCAAAACTCAAAAACGATTTGACATGGAAAAATTTTGTCAATGGCCATCAAAGGCCTAAAACTGAGGCTACGTAACACAATAGAAAGATTTAAAAAGTTTGCATATCTAATAGGTTAAAAAAGTGATGGGGTAACATTGACCGGCTTGGAAATTAAGTTAAAATTACCATAGGTACCTATATAACATATTTTATGTTTGATACACCTATTAATGTTTTTTCCTTTATGTTTCAGACTCTACAGAGTCTTATATATGGTCATTTTAACTTAATTTCCAAACCGGTCAATGTTACCCCATCACGGCTGCCAATAGATTGTCACATTTCGCCCATTTGGGGGCGGCGCCCCCCATTTGCAAACTAAGACACTTTCCTAAAATTTGTCTTTTGCATATGTAACTAGAAGAGTTCTACTACAATGCACCACAACCTGGAGTTATTTGCAGTTATTTTACCAAAAAATAAAATTGATTTTACCACCCGGTCAAAGAAACCCCAGGAGCTGGGGTAACAAAGACCATCACTTTTTTTGAAATTACATAAAACTATGAGAGGCAGGAGCCAGAAATTTATGGTGAGTAAAGCTAGAGTATAGACCTGTATTTTGCATGTTTAAATTTAAGTTTAACTTATCTAGTAAAAAAATGGCATCATTTTGAATAAAAAAAGTGGTCAAAGTTACCCCATTTTACGGTAGCTTGGAACGATCTGTGTGTGTCCAATTCAAGTTGTGACAGAATTAGTTTTCATGTGTCTAAATCCATTTCTCAACTTAATCATCTATTAATTTATTTACGACTTGAAATCAGCGAATACAAGAATACCTAAAGGATTTCTAATATATTCACAGACGTATTTAAAAGTCTCAAACCATAATATTCTTCCTATACAAACAGTTATTCACTATTTGGTAGAGCAAGGTCAACTGTCAGTCTGTCAAATTTGACACATTTTACGATGATCTCACTGGGTAGCTTGCATTGTCTCTCTTTGGATCTCAATATTTTCCCGCTAGATGGCAAAGACCTAGTGTTTTGGCAGTAGTTTGACACGCAAATGTATGACGTCACCATTTCAACCATCAACGAACGCAAGGAACTAAAACAAAGCTTAATATAAAGGAAAAACTAGAGAGGTGATGGAATTTCCCACGATGTCAGAATATACCGCGTTTACCCTACATAAGAAATTGGATTAAATATCAAGTAAATGAGGAAATCAAAAATGAACTGATTCTAAAAAATCTGTGATTTGTCACTATGCGCCTTGGTTAGCCAAGGCTCCAGTCCACACTCAGGATAATGCAGGTTTTCGGGGAATTTTCCCACGCATATTGAGTTTTTTTAACCAAATGGTTGGCGCAGCTCGCACAGTCATCTAAATATTTTTTTCTTCGCGCAGGCGTTTGCGCAGATTCCGGTCATCCATCACACCCCGCGCAGAAGTCGGCGCATAATAAAGTTTGTCAAGGAACAAACAAAAAACTTATAATATCCTATATGCGTTTAATTATCCATCAACAATATATGATTTTCCTTTATCTGGAAATTTTCCTAAATAAAAATATAGAAATTCATTTTAGAAGAAATTTTCTACAAATTCCTTATGGCAACGTCCGACCATCGTTTGTTTACCTTTTGTATCTAGGCAATCAGTTACTCCGACTGGACGTGACTGAAGTGGTAAAGAATCAAGTCCTCACAAATTGAACCTATGACGAATGAAGTAATCAAGTACCAGATATTAGTGTTAGATGGCAGGTTTAGCTTATTCTATATATACTAATAGTGTGCCAATAGATTAGAGGTTCTACAGTTATTGAAAGGAGTCAGAGATAATTTCATTCTAATTGATGGGAAAATAGTTTGTGTGCAAAATCTTTTGTAAATAAAATATTTCTTGACACACCATCCTCAGAAATTTCCAATGGAATGGTATGGCAACATCGTCTTTATAGACTTTTACGTAACACTGATACATCACCATGTGTCATGTGATGTGTCCTCTTGATTGATTGAAGCCATTCATATTATACAAATGCTTGTTGTTCATCTTAATCGTCTATATAATTTAATAAGTAACCTCCAAAGTTGCAAAAATCAAGAACTGATAACTTAAAAAAAAGTGCGGTGCCTGTATTTTTGTTTTCAATGGGTTTGCACCGCACAAACCCATTTCTCCAGCCTGGAGGATGTCCGGAATGTAACGTATTCCTGACATTGACCTTCAGGTTTGTACTATTTGCCAAAGTCAGTCCTTTGTTAGAAGGAACCAATCTCAAGCCATGTGGATTGTTGCCTTCTACTATACTATTCAGTTTTGTAATTAATTTCCAACCGAATTGTGATCTATGAAAAATGAATAAATATTCATATCATTGCCGACTCTTAGAAACTGAGTTAACACATTACAAATCTAGTCAATGTGATGCAGATATTCGTTCGTGTGTGATAACGTTGCCGCGCATTCATCTTTAAACAACTTTAGGAGCACGGCAACTGCGAATCTGTAGGCAACTGCGGAAAAAGAGACATGAGAGTGAAGAATGTGAACTGGAATATCAGGAAGCATGGCTGAAGTATGAAGAACAACAGAGAAGAACAAAAGTGATCATTAGAAAGCACATTGTGGAGTATGAGCGAAATAGGATGAATGAATTTATTTTGAATGGACAGAGAGGTGAACGGGAATGGTATGCATTCCTAAGAGGTGACAATAGGGAAAAAGGTCTAAGAGTGGATGGGCTGAACATAGGAGGAGTGTATGTGACTGAGAGAACAAGAATGGCTGAAGCTGTGAAAGAGTTTTGGGAAGACATAGGTGGAGTGAATGAGGAATTTATGCCAGATGAAAATGTCATATCTCTAGAACATAAAGATCTGAGTGGTATAGATGGGGAAATTACAAATGTGGAAGTGAAGCGGGTGGTGGAGCGACTGAAGAATAATAAGGCAACTGGAATGGATGAGATACCATACGAGATGTACAAGTATGGAGGTGTGAGTGCAATTGGTAGACTGACTGACCTATTCAATGTTGTTTGGATGAATGAATGTGTACCTGAGGCATGGAATGAAAGCCAGGTTACCTAGCTGCACAAGGGAGGTCACAAGAGCAAAAAGGAACTGAAAAACTACAGGCCAATTGCTCTTGCTGACACCTGTAGCAAGATTTTCTGTGCAGTTTTGAATGAGCGAATGCAAATATGTATGGAGCGTGAAAGAGTACTTGGTAGGGAAACTGTGGAACATCTGATGATGGAGTGTGATGCATATGAGCAGGAGAGACTGGAAATGATGAGAGTGATACTGGATGAGAGGAATGAGGGTGATGGTGTGATGTATGAGCGAACAGGAGATGAATGGATTGCAATGATTGTGGGACTGTCAACGGGGGTAACTGCTGCTATGATTGAGAGTGGAAAGCGATTTTTGGACTTTTGGAGAGTGCTTGGAGGGTGAGGGAGAGGAGGAGGTTGGCTAGAGTGGAGGCTGGGGCCTGGGAGGTCGTAAGAAAAAAGCAATAATAATAATAAAATTGGAATAACCAAACCATAATAATATCGCAAATAGTCACTCAGGGCCTACAAGGCCCATAGCTAATATAATTATCAAATACACAGTGCAATAATTGACAAATAGCAATAATAAACCAATGAATTTCCCCTTGAACTTCTATTCCCCTTGATTACTTCTCAATCTTAACACAAACTTTCACACCTCTTCTAGCCTCTTCTCTTTAATGTTGCTTCCACCTGGCTTGGTCTCCCTTCCTTCTTCTTACTAACAAATGAAAATGTGATGCATGGCTGATGGCCGCTGCAAAGGCCTGACCCTGAAATTCTTTCTCTCAGAGTCACCACGCCTCAAATCCAAATCCAAATCCACGCCCACGGCGCAGGCTGGTGCACAGTGCACATTTTTACCAGGATATTAAGGCGCACGGCGCAAATTGATGCAATGATAATAAAAATTCCCGCACACCTGGCACATCTTCCTGACCATGGGCTCCGCTCCACTGCTCCAGTTAACAAAAAAATCAATTAACAACAAATAATTTTGATTATATTTACCTTGCTCAGCAAAAAAATTTCAATTGACAAAAAAATTAACAAAAATACTATATCAATTTATATAAAGATTTTTATGTTTTTTCTTTCTGACCAACTTGTACAAGACTACAAGTTGTAGGCTGACTTGTAGGCTTGTACCTAGCTATTTGTAACTTCAATTGTTCAAAGTTCAACTGTTACTCAAATTATATCATTATATGATTTAAGGTGAAAAACCTATACTCAAACTTGAAAAATGCTATAGAGTAAAAAATATCAGAAGTTAAATTTGCATATTTTATACTATATAAAAATTGTGTTCGGATAAATAAATTTGCACCATTATAATTGAGCCGCAAACAATTCAAATCAGCCGAAAATTCAAAAGTAAACAAAGTCTGTGACACATATAAACTCTGAAAATTCATTTGGTTCATCTATAAGCCCAAATTAACTGTTTCATATTATTTATTACCAAAGTGGAGATGAAGATAATTATAAATTTTTCGAATAAACTTTAGACTGACCTTCATTCACGTCATGGGACAATGACGATATATTATAGTGTCAGATCATAAATCTTGCGAGAAAATTTCGCAGCATCAATAAGACGCCATTTCACCTCTGTGCTCTATACGTATGGTCACGTCTTTATTCCACAGTAACATAATTGTATATTATAATATGTAATAACTCTGCAGTAGAAACTCTTTTTACTATTGGAAGTTAGGCCATTTAATTTATTTAAACTGAGGAATGTATGACGCAATTTTCTATTATAAGAAAATGGCTTGAATTACCTGTATCTCAACATATGAGTGATGTGGTTAAGTGTTTCCTCTGTATTAGTTTCTGAAGAAGGAGATAATAATACTTGACCTTTGCATCATTTATAATTTTTCCATATTTTGATAAGTGTTTCTCAGGTGGAACATAAAGCCAAAATTCAACCAGCATTTTTCAGACATCTGTGCGGCCGGTCTCTCGGCCAGCTTTTAAAACGGTATCAGCAATCGAGTAACATTTATCTAATAATCAATGATATTATAAGAATATTCTGATCATCTTCGGACGCGCGATTTTTTCCTTCTGTGACATCATAAATAAGCTATGCGACTATACGTCGAAGTTCGCAGTTAATATAACATAACATAATATAACATAACATAACATAATATAACATAACATAGTGATGTCGGCGCTAAAGAGTAGGCCTGATGTGGCCTGTGGCCGATTCTTGAAGTTTTCGTGCCTTTTTTACAGAAGATCTAAATCTTGTCATTTGACCGGATCTTCTCAAAACTGACGATAGTTTGAAATAGCTATCTATACTAGACTTCCACCGGGTTCCGAATCCGAAGTACAGAATATATTTCGGTAACATTTATGAAAGAAAGTTCAAAATTGGGAATTACCACATTCAAATGCGACCGGAATGTGTTTGGTAGTCATATTGATATGTTCATTTGTCACTGAACCCGACCGCAGTTGGTCGAGAAAACCTCCAACGGGTGAGAGTGTAGCCGGCCGGTACTGTAAAGTTATTATTCCTGTACGCACGGACTACTTCACTTGCAGCAAGTTGCTATTATTTATCGGAGCGCCATCCTTGTTATTTAAGTCGTGAAAGTTAGCCGTTTAAATCATTCAAGTTAGGCCGCTGAAGCATCACTCATGAACGAAGTTTGAGTTATATATCCGCAATATCGCACAAATTGCAAAATTCATACTGGTCGTGAAAGAACTGTTATATCAACAATTCGAACACAAATCTCAACGAATGTCCGCGAAAACACTAATCAGAAAAAAGAATCAACATCAGCAACGTTCGACTTACAAAGTTCAAATATTTAAGCTGAAGTACAAGGATTGCAAATAATTAATTTGACATGCGCGTGGAGATTCGAACGGCGAACCAAGCGTATACTTCGAATAACAACAGCGAAGAGATAGATGAAAATCCAGTAACATTCAGTAGTTCCGGAAATTTATTTGATGCAATTAACATGAAAAAATACTTACATTCCATACTTAATTGAAAAATTAGGTTACAAATTCATACAAAGGCCACGATTCAACAACCCATTGCAGGTCGAATAATTTGAAACTAAATAAGGTTCTCAATTCGACTGAGAACCTATCTTGAGAGCCAGTGCTTATGCCTAGATGCAGGGAGTTGTTTTACTTTGCAGCCAACCAAGCTACGGTATGCGACGGATTGGCTAGGCTATGGCATGGCTTCATGGACTGTGAAAATTGCGTTCACTGGACTATAAATTGACTTGAATCCATCAATTATGATATTTTCTACACCTACTTAATGCAAGAGTGGCATCAATTTAGACTCAATCTTACGAATTATCTGCTATTTATAAGCTTTGATGGCAAATGTTTTCAATTATCATCTCACGAAAAAACTCGCTGTCATAATAAGTTTGCTGAAAAAACACAGTCAGGGCCTCCATGAATCTGAAAAGTGTATAAAAAAGTAAAAAGAACAATTTAAGACCATAAAGTAATTCCATCAGAATCAAACCGTCAATTTAAAATATTTGTATTTTCTCAGATGATTGAATCCACGTATTCATAATGCCTACTGTGCCGCTTAAGGAGACGTTCGATTTGAGGACATTGGTCAGTGGGGGAAAAATTAATGTTCATATACCAACCTAAATTCAATTGCAATCGCCATGTACAGTTGTTTAATTTGCAAAACTGCCCATTTAAATCTTTTATGATACTTGCAATCATGTCACAATATAACTCAAGATGGATACTTTCAAGTTGTTAATAAGGGAAAGAGAGAGCAAATACAATACATTGTTCGACAGTATCCCATGGGAAGGCACATATTTGTAACGTATATTACGTACATATTGTAACGCATATGCCGTATTTTAGAAATTCTGGGGCATTCGTAAAAGAACATCGACTTATGAAAAGATGGATTTCTGAATCCAATATGCTTTTTCGCACAAAATTGTGTGAAATATTTTTAAAAGTAGAAATGTAAACCTTTACAAGCGTTGGTAAATCCATCGAATCACGCAGCAGGTTGCGCAAATCAGGGGCGGATGAGCGGAACAGAGCGGCGTTTGTGTTCATCAAAGTCGCGTTGATCGATTAGACTTCCTAATTCCGGCGTCTTCCAAGCCACGATTTTGCTGAAATTTTCCTTAGCTCCTGATTATATCAAGTTCTGAACCGGTCGCTTTCCTAAGTTCCACTGGAATTGGACTCTTCTAGTTCATATGGATTTTAAATTTCCATCGTAACCTCTTGTAATAAAAAATTTGAATTAAAGGAATTGCGTAAGTGCGAATAATTCAAGTTTTTTGCAACCCGTTTTTTAATGAGATTTAGCTATGTGCACGATAAATAGATGAGAAACTGCGTGCGTGCAAAGGAAAATTAATGTAACATTGTCAGCAAAGTTTCTATCCCAGTTTGTTAAATCCACAAACATCCTACAGCCACAGTGACGCTTCTCTGAACTCATGAGCATCGCAGCGACTCTCAAAGATTACCATTTGTGTGAAGTATTATTGCTGAAAAAATATTATTTCTAAATAATATTCTTACTGAAAAACATCTACAAGAGTTCAAATGCATGAGTAATTATTTTGTTTAAATGCAAACTTGAGGTTTGATTGGCACTCGATTAGAATTCACAGGCTGTTTATAAGCTCACTAACATTTCTGAAGTAAAGAAGAATATATGGTTATTCTTATTGTAAATGATAGAGTCAATTTAATAAATTCATATTTATATAATTATAAATTAAAAATGAATAATTTATACACCAATGGAAACAAAAAGATTCAAAGTTATTTTAAAAATATTTCTAAATATTCAACATTCCCCCTTGTGCTGCACGGCAAACATCTAAGCAGCAGCCAAACTCGTCTCACACACGAGACAGCATATCTTCTGTTACTGGGTGCGCCGTAGCAGTGATACGGTTCTTCAGATCAACCAGAGTTGCTAGTAGAGGTGGGACATAAACAGAGTTGCTGGTAGAGGCGGGACGTAAACAGAGTTGCTGGTAGAGGCGGGACGTAAACAGAGTTGCTGGTAGAGGCGGAGAGTTGCTGGTAGAGGTGGGACGTAAACAGAGTTGCAGGTAGAGGCGGGACGTAAATAGCTTCCTTGACGTAACCCCATAAGAAATAGTCACATGGGGTGAGATCAGGTGATCTCGGTGGCGCTCAGGAAGTGACTGATTCAAAAAGTTTCAGACATCAAGATGCCAATGGCCAATGGGGGCGGATAATTCCACTCTTGAATAGGTTAAAAATACTTTGTATCTCTCTCTTTCCATTGGTGTATAATTTATTTATTTTGAATTCATGCGTAAGTAAATAAGAATTAAATGAATTGGGTCCATCATTTAGATTTTAGAATAACCCTGTATATTTCGCGAGCGTTCTATACTGTGTAGATAAATAACCCTGACGAAAAATTTCATGATGACTTATGATGAAGAAGGCTGTAATGTTCTCGTACGTCGTACGTCTCACTGTCGACCTGTACGTACAAATTATGACACATCTACGAATAGTTGCTCAGAGGACTCGATAGTTAAATCAGAAAATATATATTTTATATGTTTTTTTCTCGAGTCGCTTCATTGTTAACGTATTAACCAAATCTTGGATCGCATTCCCACCCACAAGTTTTTCTTGAACATTCCATGCTCAGGGAAATGGGTGTGTCTGGATGACCCACTTAGATGAGTCAACCGCGTCCAATTAGCGATGCACTTTTTTTACCAAGTTGCCCCATTTTTGGGTCATACTGACTAATAATAAGGCCGTTTAAATTTCAGGCATGACTCACCTGTAGCGCTTCCGTAATATGGATACTTACGTAGGGAGAATCTGGACGTAAAAGCGACTTGAACGATTTTCGAAATGGATTATTGATGACGAGGCTTGATGATCCTCATTGTTCTCATTAACGACCATAATTTGAATCTAATAGTAAATATTCAATTTATTTTAAATCATAACTCAAAATGTAGAGAATAGATATGAGATCAATATGTGATTCTTTAATTATATAGGCTGGTAATTCTGGTGGCTGGCAGCGTCATGTCGCACACACCGGCCAATATTTCAGAGCAGCGAATTTCGCACACACTTCACTCTGGGCGATTTTGACTTTACTCAACTCTTGACATTTGCCAGCATAAAGCAAGCAGCATATAGCAAGGCCGCGTACCTCATCCGGACGATCAGAGATAGTCCCAGTTCCCGCATTATTCTTCGCAGTGAAATATAACCGCCCCAACCAACAGCAGTCTGCATGTCGCCGACCTGTAGCAACGAGCACGTCACTTATACTTCGGCCATTGTAATAATTGTGATATCATTTTAATCATCGTGATATCATTCTAACATCAGACTGCGAATATTTAAAACTGCCAAGCGCAAGAAGTTTATCTGGAGTCAAGTTTTAGTCCTACTCGGCGAGTCCTATCAAGTTTCGTAGCAGCGCAGTGAAAGAAACAATAACATAAGGTAAACCCACGCATCAAGCTTCTCAGGTGAGACTACTGCAAATCCACTGCGCTCGTCGCTAATTATCATGACAAATTTTCATAACTGAAATTTCAACAAATTCA